TGCTTTGGCCACCCAGTCTGTGGTATTTTGTTAGAGCAGCCTGAGCTGAGTAAGACAAAGGGCATTATGACGATTCTTTCCAAATCTACAAAATCTAGAGTCAAGACTGGTTAGTCAATGTGGGATATGGGATACAGACTAGAGATTATGGGGCTGTGTACGCATACGTGGAGGCTGCAAATCATTCCACCTCACTCATTGCCCTGGCAATGTTAAATTTAGAACGTTTAGTTCGCGGCCTATTAGTTCACCTCAAAAGACTCTATTGCAAAAATGCAAGAGCTTTTCTTCATTCTTAATGGCAAATGAAGATTCATTCCACAGGTTTTTACGTCCATACATGACCAAAGCTACTAAGTGAGTTACTAAGAATCACTAGAAATCACTAAAGTTTTCTTTTTTTCTGAGATGCTGGTTAAGTGCATAATCATGAAATCTGACTGCCACACATTTGGCCATGCTGCAAGGTCCAAAACAGAAAGGAGTCCTCCAACATCAAGGTGACAGTTTCCTTCTAGAACTTCATCAGATTAAAGCTTTCACTTGCAGCTCACTGGCATAATCGTGAAGTTAGTCTTAGATTTTACCTTTGTTAATAATTTCTTTTCTTGTAATTGCTGCATTTTTACCACTTTAATACTTATTTTGTTCTTCTCCAATTCTTTGATATCACTGAGTTCTTTTACCACTGGAAAAAGAGAAAAGATGGTGCAGGCAGATTGTGGGGTCTTATTTTGTTCTGCCTCAAGAGTTTAAGAAGTAGTACCCCAGAAGAAAAGTCTGGTCTCACTAGGCTGCTCTCTTAATGATGCCCTGGACATTCATACTCCGTATGTCCAGAGGTTATCTCTGAGCCTCTGTTTAAACTGCTCCACTCCCACGATCTCCTTGAAATTTTCCCTGACCCCAAATTATCAAGCCTGCCTCCTTCAAAAGTCATAACATTGATTATTTCTGCTGCCTACTTATCACTGGATCATACATAGCCCTGGGATATCTTCAATAACTGAGTTGCTACCTGATTCTTGAATTGTTATCTACCTTTTAAAGTACTTTATCTTTCCATCAAGACTTAAGTATCCTGAGAGAAGGGCCAAGTGTTATATCTGCCCACCTTAGGACTGAAAAAGGAAACTATCTGTGGTACAGAAGCTAGTCACAAGGGATCTTTACTGAGCACCTGTGCTCTGATCTAAGAGTTGGAGGAAGCAGAAATGGACATAGAGTCTGTTTGCAGCCCTGAGAAGTTCTCCACATTCCCCAGACCTTTGCCCATGATGCCTGAGGTGGCACCTGCTACAGCTACAAGCAAACAAGCTGACAGTGGCTTCTGGTGGTGGGCGTGCAGAATTCCTGATAACGTGGCAAACAAGCAGGTGTGGGGGTGTTGAAGGATGCCTGATTTTCAGACTTTGCTGCTGGCCCTGCCGCTTTATCTGGCTCTTAGACTTTTTTAAAATCACCATCTGGCCACCTAAAATCACAACTAAGAAAATCCCAAAAGTTACGGCTGAACATCCTACCTTCCCTGACCCATGTCAGTTCCAATCTGGATTGGGACCCCATTGGGGACACTCCTGTATCTTTTGATTTTGACTTGGTATGTGCTGTCTCGAGTCTTGTGGTTTTCACAGTGTCTGACAATATGAACACAGTGGACTTACTCAATCTTTAAACCAATTGTATGTTCAATCAAATAATTGAACAACATAGGGTGAGGGTAGACGACAAAATGGTGACCCAAGGAGAGGGAAATATAGTCACTCAGTGAGGGCTTAAGTGATGTCTGGTCCAGAGTATTTATTGCTTATGAGTCCATTGAATCAGTGTTAAGAAACGCTCTCCGGCTCAGCGCCTATAGCTCAACCGGCTAAGGCGCCAGCCACGTACACCTAAGGTGGC